ATGTAAAGGTACAAGATCCCAGTAATGAATGTAACTGTACTGTCAACCTAGAATGTACCAATAAATTCAATTCAAAAAAAAAAAGAATGTCACTATACAATTATGGGTTTTTTTGGTCTGGCTCTCCCATTAGAATGTGAGCTCCATGAGGACAGAAACTAAGTTTTGCTCATTGCTGTATTCTAGGTATTCCAGGACAGCCTGACACACAGTAGGAAATCAATAAACATCGAATGAATGAAGGACCACTTCCATAACTGTTACTCTGGTTTGATAAAGTCTGTTTCTTCAGAAATTTAAAATTTCCAAGACCTGTAGTCATTGGGTTGGCCAGGGAAATAAGTATGGACAACTTGAGGGCTCCACCCTTAGGCAGCTCCTAACCCTGAGACAGAGGACATTTGTTACAAATACCTTCTCTGGGCTGGAGATTTAGCTGCTGCCTGCTTTGCAAGCATAAGGTCCTGAGTTTGACCCCCGGTACCAAAAAGAAAGAAAGAAATAACATCTCTGTTCCAACATAACTCTACTACTGTTAGTTTCTTCTCTCCAGTCCAAAGTTTGAGCAGACCAAACCAAGAGAAAGGCTGTCCTTTCTCCTTCACACCCTTGAAGCTAGTAACATATTCTCCTGGGTCTTCACTTCCCCAAGCTAAACAGAAACACCCCAATGGGACTGTCTCACTCAGGTCTGCCAACTGGGAATGGAGAAGACAAGACTGTGGGCTGCAGGGACAGAAGAGACAGAAGATCCAGGACAAAGTGACTCCTTCAAAGGAAAGAGAGTGAATGAATCCTTAGGATGCTATGGGCTTAGGTTTGAGACTGAGGTACAGGGCAGAGGCAGTAATAAATTAAGGTAGAAGACACTTTCTGCAGAAGAGCATTTCAGTGGGACTTACCCCTAAATCTATCCACTCTAAACCCAGACAAAACCACAATTGTTAAAAGAAAGCCTTATGATGGAAGGCTGAGGGCACTGGAAAAACCGGGGAGGTTAGTTAGGCACAGACAGGATGCAAGCCACCAGTCCCAGGACAAGTATCTGCAGGGGGAAGAGTCATCAGACAATCGCTGCTTCAAGAAGCCCAAATATATCTTTCTGGTAACTGCCCACGAGAAAGTCAAGAAAACCCTTCAGGTTCCATTTAGGCCCCCTAAAAAAAATACCTGGGTAATTTTCTAAGAGCAACTGAAGGGCTCCATGGGGCTACTGGGGAAATTATTCCTAAGAAGTCTGGAAAACCCTGTGATGGCAAGAGAATTTTTAAGAGCAACCTAAAATGTATACCCCAGAAGAAGTGGGTGGTCCAAGGGGGAGTCCCTGAAATAATTCTACTTCATTTTGAGACTTGAACAAGATTACTAAAAATTTCCATTTGGGGTTTCTAATGGGGTTTCCTCAAGAAAACCACAGAATTGCCAACATTTGCAAAGGATGCTGAGGTATTTCAACTAAGCACACATCCATACCAGAGAAGCCATTATAGGCAAGAGACCCCTCACAACTGGGAGACACAGCCATGAAGACTGCAAAAGGCCGTGTTATATTTTCTTCCCACATACCCTGTGTTCCCAACTCTCAAAATGGCCTGCAAGGCTCCTCCAGAGACAGCTATCCCAAAGTGGTGTGGTCCACTGGGTCCTAACCCACATTCCCACTGGAAAGCCCATACAATACTCTAGTGCGCATTTCAGGAACTGGCTTTGTCTTTTAAGGAGTAACTCCAGGAGGCAAAGTTCAGTTCCCTGATGGAGGAAGCCCATTCATTGAAAGAAGCGCTTCCACCCTACAATTAAGGTATGGGGAAAAGCTTTTATTCTAGATCCTTTACTAGAGTCAAGCTATGGCAGCTGGCTATCATTATTTCATTTTAAAGATGGGAGAGACAAATGGATAGGAGAGACAAACAGGTTCAGCATTTTGCCAGGTGACTCAAATACTGTGGCTAGAGGCTGAAAATCCAGACCTTGAAGCATCATGCTACAATTAAACAGAGTTACCTGGGACAGGCTACCTCCCTGCACGCAGGCAACTGTCATCTGTTTGGTGAGGTTTTGTTTTTCCGCAAAGGAGTTTTCTTAAGGACTGAACCCAAGACAGCACACATGTAGGCAAGCACTCTACCACTGAGCTACATCTCTAGCCTGGAGTTCTAATAAGAAACCAACAAGAAGCCCAGTCTGGGCAAAATCTTAGTGTCCACTTGACATCTGTCATGTCTGGCTTTTACCACTGTCAGATTCTGAGGGAACTCACACCTTTGGAAACCTGCTGCCAATGACAAAGGCACTGACCCTCCTACCACTACCTAAACAATGCCAAGATCACAGCTCAGAGCAAGCACCTTCACAGACATGTTTTGCTTGCCTCAACAGCATCTCTGGCTTTCTAGGATAATCTGTTGGGGCTTATTGCTCTCTGGACTAGCTGATATGTATGTAAAGTGTTTAGGTTTCAGAGTTGGGCCAAGCTTTGTGTACATTCTCACTTGGACACTTAACTGGCTAACACAGACACCTAACGTCAGCCACATTGCCACTCAAGATTCCTGTGTGGAATACATCAAAGAGCTATCATGTCCATGACCGAAGGATGATTATGTCTGCTCTACAACAGATGCTCAAAATACTGGTTGCCCAAATGAAGGACCTAACATTATGCCTAAAACATAAAGAGGTACACTCAATAAAGGCTAACTTCCTTCCCCTTTCCCGTAGGGTGGCTAAATTTACAGCATATCTGTGGGCGGACTAATTGTAACTCCTATACTCAAGGATTTCCCAGCTGAACCCTTCAGGATGATTATGAGGTGCCACTGCACTAGTCAGTCCACACAACTCAGAACAGGACACTCCTAACAGGGAAGTGGGTAGATACCACAGGCTCAAGGGATTCTGAGTCAAAGGTTCTTTACCCCAGAAATGGTTCCGACATAACTGGCTCTTCTGCACAAATCCCCTCTGTTCACCAAGAGGAAGTGACATGCAGTATGTTGTCCAACAGGCTCCGATAATTCTTGAGCAAAGAGATGGAAGATGAAATTTCAGTCTAGTAAAGACCTAATGAACTTGCCCAGAGCTGCTGTGTCTAAGCCCTTTATGCAAACACCAGGCAGCTGATAATTCTCTGGTCAGGATAGCCCTCTGCAGAGGCTGGCTAGCAGAATAGGCACCTTTTCCAGACTGCCTTTTGTTTACTGCTGGCAACAACTCACCTGCTCTTAGGACCACTGGCCAAAAACAATTAGGACCACTCCCTACTTGGAGATGCTTCAGAGGGTGTGTCTACAGTGCTGGAATCTTGTCCCCTCTGTAATCAAGTGAACAAATATTTGCCCCCAAAGAGAATTAAAGCAGGAGGGAAAAGAACAGATCATCATACAAACGAACAGGAATTCATTTATAGTATGGCTTTCAAGTCTGGTTATCCTTAGCCCAAGAGAGCCCACCACTTTTATCTCCCCCAATTCCAACCAAGTCATCTGGCTTCACTGACAACCCCCTTGCCTTTTACAAGAGCTGGTAGACAATAAATGTTTTGAGGGCAAAAATAAAAAAAATAAATAAAAGGAGCTGGTAGAGGTGAAGAGCTAATAAAGTTGTAAAGAAATGGGAACCCAAGAAGAGTTCAAGATCCAGGGCAAAACCAGGAGGTCCCAGGCTCAGTGGCAAAGTGAAGTGCCTGCCACACCCTCGGCCCAACCTATGGACAACTGCATTCCTGACATTTCTGAGTCCATGGTGCACGGCCTTTCCCACCTCAGCTCCTGCAATAGATGACTTATTTCCCACAGGCTATAGGTATTCTGCTTATTCTGAGGGGACAGAATACCTCTCCTATGCCGTACAACTCCCCTAGGCAGGGAGACAAACAAGGACCTAGAACAGAGTTTACTGAAAAAGGGTAAAACTTGCCCACAGTTACCACTGATAATGAAGCTCTCACCTCCAGCTTATCCTGAGGTTTCTCCCTCCAAGGAAAAGGAACTTGCTGGTGGAAAGTCACTATGTTCACTTTACTTCTAAGAGTCACAATACTGCAAAATATTCCTCAAGGCAAGGAGTGGTTGCCACATATTTTAGTGGAAAAAACTAAGGCTCAAGAAAGTAAACCGGTCTGTTCAAGGTCACACTAAATAACAGGTTCGGACTTAGATCTGTGTCCAGTCTTTCGCCAGATCTTAATGTCCTATAGAGGACCCCACAGACAGGGTCCTTGCTTTGATAGCAAACAGTGCATAGTGAAGAGCCCCCTAGTTCCTGGTCATAAAGTAACCAGCAGAGCAGCTGAGACTCCCCAACTGCCTCCAGGCAGTGAGGTGCAAAGTCCCAGTGCTTAATGTGTGTGATACAGCAAGAGTTCCACAAACTGGCCAGCCATGCAGAAAGTTGCACACTTTGGAGAAAATGAATCTGGGAGAAACAGCACAAAGACAACTAGCACAACGTACACTGCCCTAAAATCAGACAATCCCCAGACATCCAAGCCAGCGGGAACTCCTGCCTAGACAAATGGTCTGAGAGGAGTTCCATGCACACAAAACAAAATAAATGAAACTTGCTTTGGGGGAGGGAAGTCAAAATAGGATTGACAACCTTGCAGAGAAAGGATGAAGGGGATTGTGGGTCATCAGCTTTTCCAGGCATTATGTGCATCACCACTCTAAAGTGGTGACCACTGTGTCAGGGTGAGGGAAACCCTGGAACAACTTCCTATTCTCAAAGGTTTTGAGTCAAATGAGCACATAGGCTATGTTTTTCTTTGCTCAGAAACTGGAACACAGGTATGAAACAGTAGGATCATGAAGGTGAACGGAATGCAAAAATAGGAGTCCATCAAGAAGAACTGGCTCATCCTTATTTCCAGAGTTGACATCTTATGGTGAAATGTGGCCAGGCAGGTCTCTTTAACAATCAACATCCCCAAACACAGAGATACGGGCAAGGGCTGGTGGGGACTGCAAAGAAAAGGGACATGTAAGGGGCGTGGCTCTTACCCAGCCGCCGTTCTCCTGGATCCAAGGCTCTAGGTGGTCATTCAGGTAAGTAGCCATCCAGCTTGCAATCCGCCTCACCAATACCTGCATCTCCTTGTCTACGCTCTCCACGCACAATGCCCCGCCGAAGGAGAAAAAGGCCACAATGCGACCCCAGTTTACCCCATCCCGGAAGAGTTCATTCACTACCTGTTCAAAGCTCTGATATGCTGTCCCAGGGGTGATGTGGAGCTGAGATGTTAGGTCACTGAATGCCCGTCGGTACCGCAGTTCAAACTCGTCGCCAGCTTCCCTCAGAGCTTGCTTCACTGCTGCCATGGGGATCACCTCCCGGGCATCCAAACTGCTGCTGTGGCCAGTGGCCCCATTCACCGTGGGGCTATCCGTCAGGTGCCAGGATGGGTTGCCATTGATGGCACTGGGGGTCTCCATGTCTGGTTCAGTCCCTTCTGGGCCTTCAGTCCTGTTTTCTTCCACATCACTGAATTGACTCCAGCTGTATCCTTTCTGGGAAAGCTTGTAGGAGAGAAAGTCAACCACCAGCTCCCAGTTGCTCTGAGACATTTTTATAATAGAGATGGGCTCAACCAGTCCATTGTCCAAAACACCTGCTCACTCACTGAGACTGGTCTCCGCTTAGTGATTCTCTTCTAAGATCCGAAGCCAAAATAAGGTTCTGAAAAGAGAGAAAGAGCTTCAGGAAAAAAAAAATTATTAATATGCATGCCAATTACCCTACAACATCCCATCTCCCCTCCAGGTACCAGAAACTGGCTTCTTTGTGGTGCTTACCACGGCCTGGGTCCAGGTTCTAAGAGACTTCAATGAAGTCAAATTGAAAGGACAAGTGGGCTCTGAATCATCTCATCCGCCTCTTTTACCACAACCACCCCCTTTTCTCCAAAATGCCTTCGTCGGAAAGTCACCGCGACGGGCAGTCCCCCTCCCCCGCCCCCACACCACCTACATTCAAATCCGTCTTAGGCGACAGCAGGCAGGTGCAGCCCCCGGAAGATCTTTTGTATCATAGGTCGGGAGAGGAGGTGGCGGCCCAGTAGCCTGTAACTCAGCCGGCCTCGCGGCGGCTGGCAAAAAAACCAGCTCCAGCCGGAGGGATCATGCGACCCGGTAGGCTGGGAGCCCAGAAGGCGACACAGGAATTGCGAAGCTCAGGAACCTGCCCCCTTGCTTGCTTCCTCCATCGCCAGATCGAGGTCGGGCTCTCCGCGCTGCAGCCGCGGCCTCCAGCCACCCAGGAGCCCAGCCCCCTCGCTCTCGCACGCCCCTTGGCTCTCCGCCTCCTACTGGGAGCCAAGGAGAACTCTCCCGGAGGTGGCTGGTGTGGATTTAGTGCAGGGATTTTTTTTTTTTTTTTTTTTACTTATTAGCTCCAGGAGCCCAGCCCCCTCGCTCTCGCACGCCCCTTGGCTCTCCGCCTCCTACTGGGAGCCAAGGAGAACTCTCCCGGAGGTGGCTGGTGTGGATTTAGTGCAGGGATTTTTTTTTTTTTTTTCTATTTAAGTATCAGCCCTGGGTGAGGCTTCCGAAAACCCGAAGGGACTTCTCAGTGGATCTCAAGGTTTCGAGGAGGGACACAGGGAAGGGGAGGCCGCCTCGGGTCCGCGACTTGGCTTCGGAAAGGCCGCCCTCGGGCCTTTCCGGGAGGCTGAAGGCCGGGGACCCCCCACAAACGCCGCTGGTTTTCTTTGAATTCCCCAAAGGCCCTGGACGTGGCGGTGGGGGATTGCCAGGTCCTCCATTCCCCGCCCGGACACAATGGCCGCCGGTGCCCTGCACAAAGACGGGGTGAAGGGAAGGCGCTGGACCTTTCCTCGGGTCAGGAAAAGGGGCCGAGGCCTGCTCGAGGCCCCCCACAGCTGAAAGCACGTTTTCCTAGCCGGTTCAAGGAGGCTTCCTGGAGCCCCAGGGTGGGCTCTAGGACTGCGGACTGCACCTCTCCGGAGCCCGGGGTGGGTGGGCTGCGGCCTCGCGGCTTCTCGCACTCTGTAGGCCGGGTACCCGCCGAGCCACCGCCCAGTTGCTAGGCAACCGCCCTCCCTCGGGCGCCCCCGAGACCTTTCTGGGAGGAGGGGTTTCGCCCTCAGCGGCCTGCCCCAACGTGCCCAATCCGTGAGTCCAGTTGGCACGGAAGCGGGACGGCGAAGGCTCCCATTGGATGCAGAGGCTGTCACGCACAGGGGAGGCGGCGCTCTCACCTGCAAGCCCAGCAAGCCGTGGGGGGCAACATCCCCCTTCATCGACCCGGTGGTTTCCAGAGGCGAGGGTTCTTCGCGGCCGAGTTCCGCGTCGCAGACTTTGGCCTGCCTACCTGGCTGACTGCTCGCGCCGTCTCTCCCGAACACGCCGGCCTCAGTTTCCCCTGAAGAGACCGGGGGAACTTGCAAGCGCAGTCACTTCCGGTGTCGCGGCAGCGCGCGCGAGCCCGAGACGCAAAGTGAGTGCGCGCCTGGAGTGATGCGTCAAAACCTTGTAGAGAGAGCGCCCCCTTGCGGGAGACCTGAGGAATCCGGAGTCTCAAAGAATTAACGGTTACATTCAGATTTCCATCCATACATTCGATTTCATCCTTCCTCCGGTTTGTAATAGAAAAACGTCACGTTGTAATTAGCCACTTTTTCTCTGGAGCTCGCCTCTGCTGATGAGGCTGGTTTCTCAGTTACTACGTGCCTTCATCTCATCGACTGTGAAATGGGTAATAGTACCAACCTCTGCCATCGAGTGTGAAGATTAGAAGAGCAGTTATTTGCGAAGTCCATAGAATAGAGTCTGGTCTATACTTCTGCGCTGCAGGAATTCATTCGACAAATATTTATTTGGGGGCTGGAAGAGTATAGCTCGGTGGTAGAGTGCTTACCTAGCATGCAAGACGTCTTGGGATCAATCGCTATTACCACTTAGACACACGCCTACGGAGTTTGTTATTTGGGTTGCTGAAAATAGAGTTAGAATTAAGACGTGGTTCCTGCTTCATGAGGATTGTTACCCTAGAGCTGTAGAGAGACAGTACATAGCTTAGAAAATACATAAACAAGGTAATCGCAAATTGTGACCAGTGCCATGCAGAAAGAAAGGGTATTGTGATAGAGGCAGTGCAGGGAAAGATACTGCTTTAGACTGGGTGGGCAAACATGCATGTTCCACTCTCCCTGGACAATGAGGTAGAGAGGCGTTTCACTCAACAATTTGTAGGGCTGGACTCTTTGAAGGAATGATACTGTTGTGTTGTTTTTTGTTTTTTTGAAACAGGGTCTCTCTATGTAGTTGAGACTGACCTGAAACTCACTATGTAGCCCAGGCTGGTCTCGAACTCACAGCGATCCTCCCGCCTCAGCCTCCTGAGTGCTAGGATTACAGGCATGCGCCACCACGCCCGACAGGATGATATTGTTATTGGGTAGCTTGTTTCTAAAAACGTGGCCCGCCAATTAAATGTCATTGATTTTGGGTTGTTCGCCTCTCCTTCTGGAGTTAGATCCCAGGTTCTTCTTCTCATCTCAATCAAAGAATTGGATGCAACAAGCCAGAGCTGTGGCGAAGTTAATTTGAGAAAGTAAAAGTGAGTGGGAGAGAAACAGACTGCAGAGCAAGCCAAGGCAAGATAAAAGTATACGCTGTGTCTGGAAAACAGCATAGGCTATCATGGAAAGCTGTGCTAGCACTGCTTTGCATGGCTGCCTTTCTTTTATGCTGTCCAAATCTTGAGGAAACTCAAGAGAACTTCACATCGAGGTCCGGAGAGGCGGTGCTGCTGGGATCCCACGCATCAGGCTGTCAGGTCTAGGCCATTCTGTTGAAACCGGCTGGAGTTCTCAGAAGTCCATGTGCAGGGCTTTGGAAACTGTTCTGTGTTGCCAGGCGTGGTGGCGCACGCCTGTAATCCCAGCACTTGGGAGGCTGAGGCAGGAGGATCGCTGTGAGTTTGAGACCAGCCTGGGCTACATAGTGAGTTCTAGGTCAGTCTCAACTACATATTTTGAGACCCTGTCTCAAAAAACAAAATGAAACAAAAAACCACAAAAAAAACTTCTGTGCATGTGTTCCTGCATCTTGTAATTAATAGGGTACTTCTACTTCCCCAGCCAGTTTTGCCACGCCCTGCTCTCCTATCTGATCCTCTTGCCTCAGCCTCCCAGAAGTATAGAATCACAGGCCTATGTCACTACACCCAGCTGAAATCGAGCAGTTTATCATACTTTTTAATCTCTGAAGAGGATGTCTTCTTTTGATGAATTTTTTAATACTATTTGCTCTGATTTTAGTTGGATTTTCTGTTGAACTTTTTCTCATTTATATTTTACTACATATAAATTGAATATATTTTTCCGATGTAGTATTTACGACCATGGAAAAGCTTTTATTTCATATAGATATTAATTTACTAGGCTTCCAGTTTCTGTCATACTTTTGTTTTGTTTTTTGAGGTAGGTTCAGGCTGGCTTTAAAATCTCGGTGATCCTTCTACTTCAGCCTCCAAGGTACTGGGTTTTTTTTTTTTCCAGTTATAGCCATCAGTATTTATTTATTTTACAAATAATATTTATTTTTGGTACATTTTTTGATATTTGTAATGATAATATTCATCACAGGGAATTTGTACCTGTACATGACATCCTGTTTCTTCTTTTTTTTTTTCCCTAATCTTTCCCTCTTCAACCCCTCTTCACCTCCTTGTGTGTGTGTGTGGATGTGTGTGGATCAAACTCAGGACCTTGTGCTTTGGAGGCAGGTTGTGACCCCACTGAGCTGAATCCCCAGCCCTTCACCTCCTTACTTACAAAAGCTTTGTTTCCATTTTTTCTTTTTATTTTGTTTCCCTTTTCCCTTCCTTCTCTTTCCCCTCCCTTTCCCCGTTCCTCTTCTCATTTGAACATTTTCTCCCCATGTCCCATTATCTATTGCACTTATTTCTTATTTCCACTTTTGGTTTCTTACACGAGAGAAACAATGTGGTATTTAAACATATTTGTTCAATTTATTTCGCTTAAGAGTGTGGTCTTAAGGTGCATCCATTTAGCTAGAATTGTCTCATGCTTACCCTTTTTATCGCTGAGTAGTACTCCATTATGTATGAAAACCCCACATCTTTATGCATTCAATGGTTGATGGGCATTTGGGCTGTTTCCAATGGTTAGCTATTACAAAATGTGCCACCGTAAACATGGATGTGCATATATCAAGGTGGTGTGATGCTTTTACTTCTTTTGGGGAGACACCAAGAAGAGGTCTAGCTGTGTCAAATTGCACCTCTGGTTTTAGTTTTTGAGAAATCTCCACACTGATTTCCACAGTGGTTGCATCAGTTTACATTTCCACCAACACTGGAGAAGGGTTCCTTTTCCCCAGCCTCTCCAGCATTTGTTATTGGTTGATTTCTTTCCTTTTTTTTTTTT